TGGGTGCTGGCAGGCTTGCACCTGGCACGGGCACATAGCCAGCCTGTGCCATCGAGTGGGGTCCGGGGCCGGAAGAGGGGCAGATGAGTTTCCCTGGTGTTGGCCAGAGTGGCCACCAGGGAAACCTGGGGAGGGCTAGCCTCCCACTAGTTCGAATTAAGGGGCTACACACCCCTTAATTCGAACTAGCTAGTTCGAACTAGGCTTAATCCTCGTAAAATGAGGTTTTCCTAGTTCGAACTAAGCTCTCCGCTAGTGTAGCGGAGTGCTAGTGTAGCGCCTATTAAAGTTAGTTCAAACTAACGTCTGTTAGTTCGAACTAACTTTGTAGCGTAGACATACCCTCAGTCCTTAACATTAATGGAGTTTCTCACGAATCCAAGTACAATGCCATACATCCTACCTTTCATATTCTATTAATTTACCTCAGGAGGTTTGAATTCTTCAATCCCACCTTCCATTTTCTGTTTCAGTGCACTGTTTACTTGCTTAGCATTTTGAACCTTGGTTAAGAAAAAAGTTAATCAGAGCCACATACGTAGTTGAGCACTTTCTACAAACATCCACGAGGATTGACATAAGTATGCCTCTTAAATTACAGAAGTATGCGCTATGGTTTAATATTTCTCTGAACTGCTAATTCACAGACAAATCGTATTTTACCCTAGACAGTGAATATGAGAAAGAAAACTAAGACAGTATTCTTTGAAAGGCGGGTTAAAATGTGTCCACCAGGTAAATTATGATAAGCGAGGAGAAAGATAAAAGGTAATGTTCACAAAATTACATGTCTGTATAAAATGAGAAACAGTACAGGATCCTACAAACATCTTTTCATTTGCTGCTCTCATATTTTTACTGAGTGAGAAAAATCTATGCATAAGTTACATAAATTACTTCTCAGAAGGCTAGGCTCTCTTTCTTCCCCAGAAGAACTCTAAAAAAGTGTCAAGAGAGGTAGCCAAGTTAGTCTGTAACAGGAAAAACTTTAAAAACAACAAATAGACTAGTAGCACCTTAAAGACTAACAAAACATATAAATGGCATCATGAGCTTTCGTGGGCACAGCCCACTTCTTCAGATGACAGGACTGTTGGAAGTCCAGACGCAAGAATGAGTAAGGGAAAAGAAGAGAGATGGGGAGAAAAAAAAGAGAAAGAAAAGGAGAAAGAAGAAGGAAAGGGTGGAAGAAGAGAGAGAGACAGTGAGTAGATAACTGAGAGGGGTAACTGAGTTGGTCTGTAACTCCTAAATCAATGAGCCCAATTTGGTGGCTCTTTTCAATTTGACATGAACTACTTCAAGACAGGCCAAAAAGAGAAAACAAAATTCCACTTATCACCTACAGTCCTCAACTTAACCCCTCTAACACATTAATCTACAACCCATCCTGGAAAATGACCCCTCACTCTCAGAGGCCTTGGAGGAAAAGGCCAATTCTTGCTTACAGACAACCCCCTAACCTCAAACAAATTATTTCCAATAACCACGCAACATCATACTCATCTAGGAACCCCCCCTGCCATGAGTCGCGGTGCCAACTCTACCCACACATCTAACACCAGCGATTTCATCAATGGACCCAACCACATCAGCCACCAAATCAGAGGCTCATTTAACTGCACATCCACTAATGTGATCTATGCCATTAAATGCCAGCAATGCCCCACTGCCATGTATACTGGCAAAACTGGACAGTCTCTATGGGAAAGAATTAATGGACACAAATCAGATATCCGAAAAGGCAATACACAAATACCTGTTGGAGAACACTTTAATCCAGTGGTCTCTAACCTTTTTATATCCAAGATGACTTTTTAAATGACAGAACAAGCCAAGACCTACCACCCCGCCCCTTCCTTGAAGCCCTGCCCTCTCTACTCTCCTCTTCATCACTTGCTATCCCCAATCCCACTGCTGCTTTTTTCCCCCAATTCTTCTGTAGGAAGAGGTTTTTCCAACATTTGACCTGTCTAGACTGGACCAAATGTCAGAAAAACCCCTTCTTTTAGAAGCCCCCTTATTCCCCGTGGAAAGAGGAATATAGGGGTGACCGAAAGAGCATGTCTGCTCTTCCACTAAAAGAAGCGGAAGAACAAACGCATCCCTGGATGCAGAAGAGTTTTTCTGGGATATCTCCAGAATCCTGAAAAATTCCTGCAGTCTAACTGTATCCTCGCTGGATTGAGACAGGATGTGTAGGCTTTGAGGTAGGAATGAGGGCTTTGGGTGTGGGAAGAGGTGAGAGGTGCAAGCTCTGGGAGGAAATATGGATGCACGAGGAGGTGGATAAGAGGATGCTGGCTCGGGTAGGGGGCTCCAGGGCAGGCAGTGTTGGGATCAGATGTAGGGTTAGGGTACTAACCAAGCCACAGACTTCTGGATGTGAGGGTTCAGGAATTTGGGTTGGAGGCTGTGAAGGGCTCAGGACAGGGGGTTCCAGTGTATGATAGGCTCAGATGTAGGGTCTGGGGGAAAAGGGAGTGCAGGAGTGTTCTGATGCTGTGGCCAGATGGGGGCTTGGCCCTAATTGGGGGATTGTTGGCCAGGCTTCATTATTAAATGAAATACAGGCAGTCCCCGGGTTACGTACAAGATAGGGACTGTAGGTTTGTTCTTAAGTTGAATCTGTATGTAAGTCGGAACTGGCGTCCAGATTCAGTAGGGTCTGGGGGAAAAGGGAGTGCAGGAGTGTTCTGATGCTGTGGCCAGATGGGGGCTTGGCCCTAATTGGGGGATTGTTGGCCAGGCTTCATTATTAAATGAAATACAGGCAGTCCCCGGGTTACGTACAAGATAGGGACTGTAGGTTTGTTCTTAAGTTGAATCTGTATGTAAGTCGGAACTGGCGTCCAGATTCAGCCGCTGCTGAAACTGA